TTAGCCATCAGTGACTCTCACTGTGCTTTGTGCCTGACTTCGGTTTGTTTAGTTATGGGGGTTTTTTGGCTTTTGGGAGTTGGTTTGGTTTTTTGTTTTGGGGCAGGGAGGGGTTGTATGGTATTGAGGGGGCAGTATTTTTGTTTTGGTGGGATTGGGTTTTTCTTGGGGAAGCAGCCCTAACCTTACTAAACAGCACACTGAAATTCACAAACATCCATAAACATACCGCCTAGACCCTCAGCAATCTCCGGAGCTACCCAGTTCCCTCAGGTTAATCAGTGCCCTCTCAGGTAAAATACACACCAGAGCCTGGTACTGCTCCTTTCCACCTGCCTTGCTGTTCTTCATCCCTTCTTTCCCCCACTGGATCCCCTCCCTTTTATCCTCCCACACTATCTCCTCAGATCTTTCATCATTTGAAGATAAAACTGTAGCCACAGTGAGTCAGCCACCAGCCTCTGCCCTCTCCATGACAATATTATCCCGCTTGAGGGGCTAGCGAATAGATTTGGGTCCCGATTTGTACACCTGTATAATAGACACCTACTTAGAGCTTGACTTAGCATTGTGTTTTCCAGTTTCCCCTAAACAGCTTATTTTCCAAAAAATAAGCTGCCAGGGTGAGGTTTACCCACAGGCAGAACACTTGCATGAAACCCATTCACTTCAGCTCAACTTAAGCCTTACTTTGATGGTTTAACAGGAATTTACATGGTATACAGGACTCACTCAAGTTCCCTACACAGGGAAGATTTCACCCTCTTTGCACTTCAAAGTCTCAGCTTTCTCAACCAGCTTTTCAGAATGTGCATCCCATTGTGCTCTTAACACTTTTCATCCCTTTCAAATTTCACTATGGTATCTTGCCAAGCTATAATAGTGTCAGTCCATGACCAGCAGGGATCAGTGAGCCAACTGGAAACACAGGGTAGCTCCAAACAGCATCAAGCAAATGTCCTACACCAGTCTCAGCAGTATCTCACAGTACCGTGCAAACAGCCTCTAGAAGCCAGTTCCCACTACAGAGCTGTATCTTCAAAACATAAGCCATTTTGAAGAAAGAAAGAGAGGAAAACTTTTCAAGATTGACTTCTTGCTCTCACTGCTGGCAAAAGAACCAATTGTATGTACTGCTCAATCCATGCAAACAAAAGCTTTACCACATCCTCTGTCTTCCCACATTGAAAGGCAAGATAACTGGAAAAGGCCTTTTAGCAATGGCACCTACACTAGAACTGCTATTTTCAGGAGAAGGGCTCTAAGTTAGCTGAGAGTAGAAGTGTGTGGCCTTGACATAGCCCCAGATAGAAGAACAGTGCCTCCCAAAGTGCAGAAGTACACAGAATGCTAAAACAAAGCCAAGCTCCTATAATTAAGGTATTTAAATTTACAACAGAGCAACCATCAAGGAGTTTGTACTTTCTCTTTCATGTGTCTTAATTAAAATTTTGTCAGAAACTTAGGGCTGGCTTTCAGAAGTGCCCAGCACTCCATATTTCCTGTTGTGAAATTAATGACCAGGTTTTCAAAGGGATTTTTAACATGCTTTCTTTAAAAGCAATAAATATTTTCGTTGTGCATAGTTCCAAAAAGTACACATGCTCTCACTACACCAACAGACTCACAACACTCAGACCATGAACTCTGTGAGCAAACTTTGGTTCTTATAAAAGCCAGCTTATGGAGTAGGGGAGGCTCTGGAAAACATCCGTGGGAAATACCGCAGACAGATCCCATCCCTGCCTAGGACTGAGGAGTCTTATTTTGTCACAGATATTACCATTCTGTCCCCTGCTCAGAGCTTTCAGAAAGCAAGCCAGCTCTCTTTCTGAAAAGAGAAAGGCCTGAAGATGGTCATGAATGAGTCCAGCAGTTACAGTGTAGACCTGGATTCAATTATCTCCTCTTCCCAAAGGGAATTTATTGATTATTACCTTTGGAAGGAGTCCAAATGCCCTGAATCTTCTGCCTGGGTCACAGGTATGTTTTTGAACCATTCTGCTACACTAGTTTCATTAATCTCACATCTTCTTTAGATGAGAATTACACCTTAATGATTGGTCAGGCTATTTATCTCTATCCTCCCTATTTAAAACTTTCCCTATTTTATGTTATGGGAATAGCATTCTACACTGAGACACAAATGAATCATGTCCTGGGATCCAAATGTTTCCCAGAGCCAACTCAACAACAGAGTCTTTCTCAAACTTTTGCTGAAAAAAAAATATTAAGCAAAGAACATTTTATTCTTTCTAACAAAGCAGAAAAGTTTGTGCAGAAAAGCCTACAGCCTAACCTGATTCTGGCATATGTAAATTAGGGAAAAGAGCTGAACTCAAATCTCCTGCTTCCATATATGCTAAGCCGCTGAACTGTTTCAGAGGTGGATGGGCTTATTGAGTGGCTTGGTTTTAGAAACCCATGAGCAGCTCTCTGTATTAACAGGAGTTTGACATGGTTCAGAGTAGACTTAACAAGACCAGCATAATTCTCCAGCAAGTACGAATCTTCTGGTCCTTCCCCAGTTGAATCAGAACCCTTGGCTATTCAAAACGCAGCACACCCCAGGGATAAGGGGACTATTCAGAGTGCTGGGGCAGGGCTGCTGCATTTCTGATCACCACAGAGAAGTTAAAAAATGGTCTCCCTCTAGTCCAAGCTTACTCAGCTCCTAGCAGGATGGTGGAAAGTCTCAGACATCAGTTTAGGACTTTGTAAATTCCACTGTGTCTGCAGGTGAACCGGATGAAATTTAAAGTCTTCAAACCCATTTCAAGAAATTCACCACAGCTTTAGCCACTAACCTCAGCTAGCAAGTACCTATTTCATGGGGGGGGGGGAGCTTTACAAATTAAACTAATAGCATGATGCTTTGTGCTACATTTTTCAGACACTATTATGCATCATACAATGAACACTGGGGTGCCGGGATATCAAGTCTTTGTGTGGCCTCAGGTACTCAGAATTTCTCTTCCCCATTAATACAAAGATTGCACTTCTCAGGGGTCATTCTGCTTAACATTTCTTAATTGAAGGCTTTCTTGCTATCTGCCATTTGGCACTGACTGCACCCACTAAATGCAATTTTGTAATCCTTTCTCATTTAGCAGTCCAGCCAGCAGCAGCCTTCTCCTCGTAACACCTGTCTCAAAAGCTGACTGAGCTCAGGCAGTATTAATCCAGAGAAAGCAACTTCTGGTTACAGCCCTCAAAATACCAGGCTGTAGAAATAAACACCTGCTGCTACACAGGTGTTTTGGGCAGAAACGTAAGGCAGAAAGAACTGAGGAAGAGAGGAGAACAGACTAGATGCAAAGAATTGGATTATTTTTTTTAAATAGAGGTAAAAGACCAATAATAAGATAAAATGAGGTGAAGACAAATCAGGAGCAAGAGGAAGAAGGCTATTACCCAAAAATAGTTATTAATTATTAGCAGTCTTCCCTTCTGGACTCTAGAGCAATGGTACATGGACTCTTTCACATCACCCTGCTCCAGCCAGGACTACTGTCTCTATTCATCCATCCTAAATATCAAAGTGCCTTCTACTGGCTTTCTGCATAAAATAATGTCCCACATCAGTCAGAGGAAGAGAAACACACTGTTAGTTGACTCTCTCAGAGTTTTGGCCTGCTCTTTTGCTTTAATCATTTATTTTGTACACACTTAAATGTGCATACAAGCATAGCTGTTATGACAACACTGGAGACTGCCACACGTTCCTGGGATGACATTTGCTGTGTCAGTGAAATAACGAATGGGTTTCCTTAGACCCAAATGTTCATGATATATAAATACTTAGTCCTCTTTAAACATGATATGAGTAACTTTCTCATGTCTGCTTTGTTGATGCAGTTTTCAATAATTTGCTTGGATAGCATTACATACCTCTGATATATTTTTAAAGTTAAAGAGTAAGTAACATAACACATCATCTCCTCTGGAGCAGTAAAATGTTGCCCAGTGTGATGAAAGCTTTTTTCCAGCAGTACAGGCTAAGTGACAGGGCTGGGCGATGTTGGTTTCAGGTTTTTTTCCTGCTAGAATGGTTACAGGCAACCAGAATGGAAAGAAGTCAAGTAGCTAATGGCATGAATCAATCTTAATTGCTTTCTACATTGTACAGAAGCAAGGAAAAAAAACCTTGACCTTACCAAGCAAAATTGGCAGGAAAATATAGCTTCTCCTTAGAACAATCTAACCTTCAAGCACTCCCCTTCTAGCAAGTTTCTCTAATCCCAGACAGATACACTTATCAATCATAGTGGATGAAAGAAAATTAATCTGTCAAAACAGTGACATTGCAAAAATTATAACCAGCAGTGCCATTTGTTAATTTGCCCAGTACCCCTCATTCTCAGATTTGAGGATTTATCAAATATATATTTCATCCAACAGATAAAATACTTCACCCGTGCCTGAAAATAATAAAGATTTAGTCTGGAATTTATTCTGGCTCAGGATCCTGGGACTCCTACAAGAAGCATTTGAGGGGGCTCTCACATATCCCAAGACACGGGACTTCAATTTATCTTTCCATAAAATAAGGCCAATATCTCATCCCATGGAGGTGATATCACTTCAGCTACCAAAACTGGAGAAAAACATCATGTGAGCTGAAAGAACTTTTTTTTTTAAATATATATTTTAAGTGCTCTCCCCTTGTTTATTACATTTAAGTAACATTTTAATTGAATTTAACATGAACAAACAGCAAAAAATGGATTTTTTTTATCAGTGCAGCTCTTCCCTACATTTGTCTGCTCACACAGCATTTTACATGTCTGAACGATGTACTATGACTCTGAGCCAGGAAGATATCTGAACAATACAAGGATGTTCCAGTTAGGACAATCTCAGCTCCAGTCTGCTTTTAGGTACATGCACCCTTTCCACTGGATAAATTCTGCATTGCACACGAACATCTGAGGCCTCCATCTGACATTCAGCTGGAACAAAAAGTTTCTGTTGAAAGTAACTAGAAACACAATACTTACAAAAATTAGTCTCCAGACTTCCACATCTTGCATAGAAATTAATGGATTATTCGGAATGTGAAGCTTAGTCTTGGTTACATCAGTCAGAACAGCACCATAGGAGAAACTGGGATGTCATTTAATGTTTTGTTACTTCATGCCAAATTTATATAAAATATTATTCCACCAGAAAAAAAAAAAGATAAATAAATCCCACCCTGTCACTGCCAGTATTTGCATCAAACCTTTCAACTGCTTAATTTGCAGCCACCTGGATAGCTTAGTTATTGGTCAGGTACTGCTTTTAACTATTTAAAAATACATGAAACATTACTAGCAAAACAAAAATCCACTTCAGACCAGGCTCTCACCTTTGTCTAAAATGTGTCTATTTTCATCACAAAATCCTTCAAGCAGAGACAGATTTTATTTTTTTTTTCTAGCAAGAATGGAACTCATTTTCATGCAAGGTAATTCCTAATTCCTGAGCAAGCGGTTAAAAACTTTCTGAGCAAAAATGTTCCTGCATAAAAAAAAAAATTCTTCTAACCCATATTGTACATGCCCTGATTATAGAATTTAATCCATGTTAATGGACAGTTACCTGAATGCAAATATATCTCAAATAAAAGAGCAAAAATGCTCACTGCAACATTTTGATATGTTATGCCAACTCACATGAGCTAGTGGCAGCCATTCTGTTTCTCAGCAGTCAGATGTCTACAACCCCACTTGAAAATAGAGTGTGGAGAGACCAGGAACAAGTCCTGCTGGTAGTACAACTGGTCACCAGTATAGGAGCTCCACCCTACTGTCATCTACTCACTACCCACTCTGTAGATGCATAAAAAAGGTGATTAAGAAGCAGGGCAGAGAAGGCCATAACTTGAGCTTCGTCTTGAGAATTCCCAAACACTGGTATGTTCACTGCACAGAGGAAACAGCAGTCAATATTTACTTCCAAAGTGGTTCAGCTTCTTAAAATAAGAACAAGTATTTTGGTTAAAACTGAAAATGGTTAAGAACCATCAGTAGTGGCTTAGAAAATGTTCAATAAATAAGACAATATAGGCAAAATATACTAGACATTAAAGGGACAATAATCATCTGCTGTTGCAGTTTCATACCATGAGTTGCATGGGTAAAAAAAACAGAAAATAATTTACTTTAATAGGCAGATATTTTGACATCTTCACATTCAGTACCAAGCCATAGCTGAGGTAATAGCTTGTTGGTTTTTTTGGTATAAACAGCATATTTAAACAATAGCAATAGGAGGTGGGTTTTTTTCCTTTTTACACAAGATGCAGTAACAGTTCCCATAACTCCTTTGTATCATACAAGTATTTTTCATTAAATACTGTCAGCAACTCTTGCAAATTTATGTTTGAGTTTTTATTATTTTATCCTTTTTTTAATCTGTTAGAGGTTTCAAGATTAACTCCAATTTAAGAATGTTTTATACCTCTCTTTGACAGTAATAAAAAAGAATTCAAAGAACCAAAAAACTAAAGGGCAAGAAGGGTGGACTCCACATAAACTTCTATCATCTCACCACTCTATCTTATGAGTTTAGGCGTTAGTCAGAATTTCCAGTTTTATGTTTGACATGTGATGATTCAAGGCTATCAAGCTAACCTATTCTACTCTTTTCCAGCTTTATATTTAAAAGGAAAAAAAATAAGAAACAAAAAACAACAACAACAAAAAATAAAACACAAATAACCTCTCTCTGATGCTCAATAAATGCAACAATACATTATAAGCATTTAAGTAACTCAACCATAGACATTATCAGACATTTTAAAGCGATAAAGCAAGTCAGAAAAATTGTACCCAGTTATTTGCAACTATAAAATTAGAGCTCACTTTTCAAAATTAGCCACCTTGAAAATAGTAACATATTCCATATATTCATATAAAAAATCAAAATGCAGGCTAACAAATGTCTTTTTTAAAACAAGAAAGATAAGGAGAGTCAAAGCTTTTCATTAGGACCAAAGTGGTCCACAACAGATGCAATCACATAAATAACACTGCAAGACAAAGCTAACTAATAAAAACAATTTTCACCATGTTTCCTTAAGGTTAAAAAAAAAACTTTCCCCCTTCTCCTACCTGTTGCTAATGCAACAATATTACAACCTCTAAATGCCCTGAAAGAAAAAATAAGGTAATCCCCACATAACTCCATTAAAATATGTTTTTTTCCCTAAATCATTGAGTTTGAGTTCTTTAGATCCAAACAGCTCATGAAATCGTGAGCTGTAATTCAAAGTACCTGCAGACATAAGGTATGGTTGTTACCCGTTTTCTTCATGACCATATTTTCTTTGACTCTCTCACTATAATGGTTTTGAGCAGATTCCTTAACACATTCCAGAAGAATTTCTTCTTTTGCATAAAACATGAAAATGTCAAGCACAGAAGCCTGCACAGTTCACTGCAGCCAGCAGAAGCCATTGATTCTTGCATTTATTTCCTCTATATTTCAAATCTACTCCTCATGCCACTTGTCACATAGGGTTGACATATGTCACAGGGCACCATTATACGCTGTGGCAATGCATAGCCATCAAATACAATCTAAAAGACCATAATATATTTTAAATAATCCTATGCACACTGGCTTGTTCTGTTTGCTGCGGCCTTAAAATTGCCAGAAGTCGACAGTCATTGAAACAATTCTGAGAATACAAAATGTCTCTTCTACTAAACATAAGAAAAACTAAAATAAGTTGAACATGCATCATCATGATAAATCTTTTAATTGGTGTTTGGTCGAATAATGGTCAGACCACAGGATGGAAATCCAGTATGCCAAGAAAGCCAGGTGTTGGTATCACAGACTGTGCTGGAGCAGGATTAACCACCCTTGAGTTACCCCATAACAAAATTACTGCATTGCTACTCTGCTTGTAACAGTGCTCTACAACTGGTCATACAGGCTCAGGTATCTTCACCTTTCAAGAAGTTACTCCTGGCCATGAACCATACAGTGGACAGTACAATTAGAGTTCACTGCATATTCATTTGGGGTCACACAGTGGCATAAAGAGGTGTTGCACCATCAGCAAATTGAAATTCTTAACGCAGAACTGGACCCAAGAATATGTGAAATGCTACTGAGAGAGGATGTGAGCTCTGAGAGAACCAATGAAGAATGGATACAGACAAACAAGTGCAGGCACATTGATATGACAAAGGCGGCAGAGGTAAATATCTTCTTGCTATCATCATCAAGTCATTGTAAACCCTAAATGAATTCCACTCTTAACATGGGAAGAGAATTGAGACTTCATATATATTCAGGTATGATGTGAGATTATATACTACAAAGTGATTTCCTGTAGCTTCCAATATTACTAATTACTAGTAAAGTGTGTCAAATTAAAGAGAAAAGGAAGAAAAGGTCAGTCTCTTCCAAAACAAACTACCTAGCACGTATGTTATCCAGAAAATTTCAAATAAAACAGTTATTATTTCCTGTTCATCAGATCCTGCATCCAGCAATCCTTCACCATATTCACAAGAATAGTGAAGTTTTCAAGGGGATGCCCCTTTCAGGGGCCTTTTTGGTTTCTGCTTTCTTTTTAGTGAGATTTCTGTTAAAAATAATTAAGCAAATACGCTTTTATAAGACTGGTACTAAAATACTAACCTATCAGCTCAGAAATGTACCTTTGGAATAACTGTATAAATGCCCTTTGGATTTACAATCTGTACTACCATGGAAAAAGGTCTTTACTGCAACATCCTCACTGCTTATATTTTTGCAAGGGGGAAAGCAAATACTGTGAAATTTCTGTTCTTGGTAACAGCAGTCCTAGCTTTAGCAAACACCTAATCTATGCTTATATGTCTGCACAGCTCAATACAAATTGACACGTACATGTTCCACAGCAAAAGAGACAGAAGCAAATACATGCATATAATCATAGAATGATAGAATCATGAATAGTTAGAGTTAGAAAGGACCTTAAGATCATCTAGTTCCAAAGGGGGGTTGTAATCACGGGCAGGGACACCTCCACTAAACCATGTCATCCAAGGCTCTGTACAACCTGGCCTTGAACACTGCCAGGGGTGGAGCATTCACAACTTTCCTGGGCAACCCATTCCAGTACCTCACCACCCTTACAGTAAACTTCTTCTTATATCCAGTCTAAATATCCTCTGTTACCGCTTGTCCTTTCACTACAGTCTCTAATGAAGAGTCCCTCCCCAGCATCCCTATAGCCCCCTTTCAGATACTGGAAGGCTGCTATGAGGTTTCCACGCAGCCTTCTCTTCTCCAGGCTGAACAGTCCCAACTTTCTCAACCTGTCTTCATATGGGAGGTGCTCCAGTCCCCTGATCATGCTTCTGGCCCTCCTCACATGGCTGCATCTTAGTTTCAAAACCAGGCAGGTAAGAAGTGGCAGAAGGGATCTCACCACTCATCTTCCCCTTATCAAAAGAAGAATCAAGTACACTTAGGATAATCCCAAATCATGTTTGTCACTAGATTTCTTTAAATTCTCCAAGACCAGGGCAGACAGACAAACACCTTTGAAAGTCACAAACATTTCATTCTTCTCAGAAGAACCTGCAGGTCCTGCATCCTGCCTGTCTAAGCTCCAAGTGTATTCTGCGCACACAGTTATGAATCCACAAAGTCCTTCTTTGCTTACCAGACAGCACAGGGCCCCTCTTACCTCAGGAGAGTGAGGTGCATCTTCACCAGACCCTTATAAATCTTGCAAATTTTCTTTTTTACACTGCCTTCATATTGACATGCCAACATGTAACAGCTTGTTAGAAAATGGAAGAGGGAAAGTCAATTTATGTAAACTTTTTAGCAAAATTTTAAATACAATTAACCGTAAAAGTTTCTCTTGGGTTCTCCACCAGCTAAAAAGCACTAGAGTTGGCTCTGCTCAGATGACCCCATGCTTAAACTTCCTGAGGTCAGGAAACACCAGTGAACATCACTTGGTCTCTATTCTCCATGGGGGCTCTAAGGCTCTTGATCTTGCTTTACTCAATATTAGTTCTTTGTTGTAGCACCTCTCTCAACAGAAAGAGGCACACTGAAATTTTAGAAAATACACTATTATTTGAAGTCCTATTCATGAGTTTAGTCATGT